TGCCAGTATTGTGGGAAATCTTGTCAGTACCATCTTTGAGGAGTGAAAGGAAGGGGGAGGGAGCAATTCTGTCCAGGGGGAGAGGCACAGGCTGAGCATTCCTTGAAGGGGACCGACAGTTTTTTTTTTTGTCTTTTGGGGGTGAATAGTGGGGGCACACTGGGCGGTAATTTTGACTGAGAGGCCAGTGGCTCATTCCTACTCCTGCTGATTGGTGGAGGAAGGGGGGATCTGCCAATGATGTGACAGAGGCCAAACGCGACTGGTGTCTTTTCACAGTGGGGGAGAAAGCCACATGGCGACACAGTTGGAGGTTCGGTGGGATGTGTGAAAGACTCAAGTTATGCTGGTGCAGTATGGCTGATCTCTTTCTTTCCCCCATTCTTAATTTCTGCTTTGGTGTAGAATGCAAGCCTGGTTCGCTATACATACATAATATCAATACAACATACATTTTCCTTTTTATTTAAAAAAGAACGATGGCTTTTATGTTGTTTTTCAAAAAAAAAGTATGAATCCTTATGCAAAACTGGAGTTTGTTGCTTTGACAAATGGATTTATTGGTCTCTGATATCATTCATTTAATTTTCTATAAAAGTCAATACACAAGCTATAAACTTTATAAGGCATGTTATGAAAAAGCCGGGACATCAACATCATTTCGGCCTGAAAAACAAAATTTACAATGAAACAATGTAAATTCCATGAATTTCAGAAACAGTAACCACACATATGAATTATTTTTTCTTTACTCAAGGGTTTCAGTTCTGTTGGTGTCGGTAGACAGAGCACGTCTCTGCTGACCAGTGTTGCTGAAATCAATTGTCCCATCTAACAGACATTCCCTCTGGGTGTGGGGGTGTAACCAGCAGAGCCACATGATAATGCCAAAGGGCGTTTACTTTGACCCACGCTTGAAAGTTATTTGAAAACATCCAGGCAGCGTATATCACGTAGTGCAAAAGTTTGGCAAGGGGCTGGCCTGGAAAACAGCTTGTAGCAAATAGCCTTGCAGCCTGGGAGACAGGGGAGGGGCTATGACACATGCAGTCAGAGGACCTCTGGGCCTTCCTTTACCAATGGAATTCTGGGAAGATAAAAAGTGCTGAAACAAGTACTTGTAGGGTTCAAAAAAGAGCAGCAGCTGTGTTTTAATAATTAACTCACATGTACAGAGTACGTGCTCTTGTATAAACAGTCACTGAATAAAAAAACTTAAGATGGAAAAGTGACTCAAACTGAGCTCATTTACTTTATTTATTCATTAGAATATTTATGTGATGTCAAAGGAGAGGGAGAATCAGGTGTTTACTTTGTGAGGAACAACCGAAGTACAGCTTTCAGACTGTGGTGGAGTGTGCATTTCTCCAAATGGAGACAAATCAGGGAGACTTAACATTGACACTTTTACAAAAAGGGTACATTAATTAACATTAGTAAATAAAGTAATACGCATTGACTAATTGTTAATTAACAATTAAGTAACATGTGTAGTCATCATTTCCTCATGGTTTGCATGTTAACTAAGGTACCTGTTACAACCCTCATGTGAATGCCTTTCGTTTCTCTTCCTTTCAGAAATTTGCATGTCTATTAGAAGCATGACTCCTTTGATTGGTTCACGTCTCGTGTCTGTTCCCTTCCCCAGCTGCATCTCGTTTCATGGTTATTTCCTAATGTTTCAGTAACGTATGTTTAAACCCCTGCCTTGTGTTGCAAGTTGCTGGATTGTAATTTGCTATTTGTGCTTAAAACCAGGCAGTATTCCTAGTAGAAAGTCTTTGTCTTTATTAAGTGTAACATAAAATTTAATGACTGCAGTTCCCGGAAGCTTTCCTCTTAACTCCGTGGACTCGAACCACTGACTGTCTATAAAGATGGACAACCTAATAGGTCCTGAAGAGCATGGCCAAAATATCCTGATGGCCATATTGTGGCTGGCTGCGGTACAGGTTATAAGCCTGCCCCCTCCACGTTAGTGGACGGAATATGGGCCACACAAAAAAATTAAAGATGTGTCAATTCATTTTTTTTCCAAAGATGGTTTCCATCATTTTAAGTAGTTCTTACCATGCTGATGTACAGCGCCCTCCATAATTATTGGCACCCCTGGTTAAGATGTGTTCTTTAGCTTCTAATAAATTCAGTTTTTTTTCTAAATAATATAGGACCACAATGAAAAAAAGAGGAAAATCCAACCTTTAATTCAAGTGCATTTATTCAGTGGGAAAAAAAATCCCACATTAAGAAATAATTCTTTTACATCAAATCATGTGTGCCACAATTATTAGCACCCCTGATGTTAATACTTTGTACAACCCCCTTTTGCCAACAAAACAGCACCTGATCTTCTCCTATAATGTTTCACAAGATGGGAGAATACAGAAAGAGGGATCTTCGACCATTCCTCTTTGCACAATCTCTCTAAATCATCCAGTGACCTGGGTCCTCTCCTCTGCACTCTCCTCTTCAGCTCACTCCACAGTTTTCAATGGGGTTGAGGTCTGGGGACTGAGATGGCCATGGGAAGAGCTTGATTCTGTGTCTGGTGAACCATTTCTGTGTAGATTTGGCCACATGTTTAGGGTCATTATCTTGCTGAAAGACCCAGTGATGACCCATCTTCAGCTTTCGGGCAGAGGCCACCAGATTTTGATTTAAAATGTCTTGGTATTTCAAAGCGTTCACGATGCCATGCACCCTAACAAGGTTCCCAGGGCCTCTGGAAGAGAAACAGGCCCACAGCATCACCGATCCTCCCCCATACTTCACAGTGGGCATGAGGTGCTTTTCTGCATACTCATCTTTTGTGTTCCGCCAGACCCACTTAGAGTGTTTGTTGCCAAAAAGCTCTATCTTGGTCTCATCTGACCAAAGCACATGGTCCCAGTTGAAGTCCCAGTACCGCTTAGCTTAACTCCAGACGTTTATGTTTATGATTGTGAGTGAGAAAAGGTTTTTCCGTGCATGCCTCCCAAACAGCTTGTTGGCATGTAGATAGCGCCTGATGGTTGTCTTGGAGACTTTGTGACCCCAAGATGCTACCATTTGTTGCAATTCTTTAACAGTGAGCTTTGGAGAACTTTTTATTTCTCTTACCATCCTCCTCACTGTGCGTGGTGGCAAAATAACCTTGCATCCTCGTCCAGGCTTGTTTACCACTGTTCCAGTTGTTTTAAACTTCTTAATGATTCCTCTGACAGTAGATGTGGGCAGGTGCAGGCGAGTGGCTATCTTCTTGTAGCCATTGCCTGACTTGTGAAGGTCGACACACATCTGCCTTACTTGAATGATGTCCTCCTTTGTCTTTCCCATGTTGAAGAGTGGATAAGAGAAATGGCCTCTGTGTCACGTCATATTTATACCCCAGGGAAACAGGAAGTGATGAATTACTAATTAAATGTTCCAAGATACTCTGATCAACTTTGTAAACTACTGTAGAAATGACAGAAATACTTCAATTACATTTATTTCCTAGGAATTGTTAGGGGTGCCAATAATTGTGGAACAGGTGATTTTATGAAGAATAATTATTTCTTAGTCAGGGATTTTTTTTTTCCCTTAAAATTCACTTGAGTTGAAGGTTACATTTTTCTACAATTTTCAGTGTGAGAGTATGCTTCTGCAATAAAAATTGAATTTATTTTAAGGCTTTTAACACATCTTAACCAGGGGTGCCAATAATTATGGAGGGCGCTGTATGTTCAAGTGTTCATTTTTTTCTGATAAGTTTGGTTTTATTTAGCTATTTGACACTATAAAAAGCAGGTGTAAAATCATGATTGACAGATGTGATTGACGTTTTAGACAAGTGGTCGCCTCCAGGCTTATTTCTGGGAATTCTTTGGCACTAGAATGCAACCATCAGGAAGAGATAGCTATTAAGTTAACATTACGCATACATATGTTGCTCGGTCCCGGTACAATAGAATATAATCCATGGTAATTTTAAAAATCAAACAAAAATTGACAGTAGAATTGTATTTGCTCTGAACACAGCATCATGTACTGTTTGCAGCAATGTAGACCCTGGTAAACCTGATTTCACTAATAAAAAACAAAATTAGCCATCACACAATTGAGTTACAGCACAAAATGGCTGTCACTGATGTTACTTAACACAACTAAAACAAGGTGCTGTGTACAATGAGATCAATGGTTTGGCGTGGTTCATGTTTTCCCCAAATACTTGCTGTTACATTAGTGTTATTTCTAATGTAACATTAATGTTTGATTAATTATAAAAGGTTTTGCATGGGCTCTCGGAGGACTCCTAACTCGTTCCACAGCAGGCTTTCCGTTTCCATTGTGTCATGTGACATCAGTATCAGCCATTTTGCGCGGTAGATTTTGTGTGATGGATAATTTTGTTATTTATGAGTGAAATTGGATTTTCCAGCGAAATATGGACAGTGAAAAGAGACATGTGGCAAGAGAAAAACATATAAAAATATTATGTCAACAAGAAGTTTCATATGAGTACATCCATGACTATGACCTCACTATGATCTTGACCATGAACGGAATTTGCCCAAAACTTGATAGAAGCTGAGTCCTGTCCAATAGTTGCTATATACTAAGTTATAGCTTGGTGTCATAAAATTTGAAGTTTTTGTGTTAAGAAGTATTTTGAGGGGCATGGCCAGATTTCATGACCTTGACATTTGAAGTGACCAGTGATTATGCCAAAACAATTTCCCAGCAGTATAATAACTGTGAGTAAAGTTCTAAATGGGTTCAAGATAACAAGACAGTTATAGATGCCTCAACAGTAATGAAGTTTTGCTGTGACCTTGACCAGAAGTGGAATGACACCCAAAGTTGATAGAAGATTTACTTTGCTATACATTTGCTATATACCAAGTTACAGGTTTCTATCATAAATGCTTTTGAAATTATACTGTTAACAAGCCTTTTGAGGAGCGTGTTCAGATGTCATGACCTCGTTGTGACCTTTACCTTGCATAGAATTTGCCCAAAAGTCAACAGAAGCTGAGGGAGACGTGGTAGCGCAGTGGTCAAGTAGGCTTGACTTGGGATCAAAAGATCTTGAGTTCAAGCCCCTGCCACGACCTTCACAGTGGGTTCTTGGGCAAAACACTTCACTCCCACACTCCACACCTCACTCCACCCAGGTTTATAAATGGGTACCAGCAAATAATAGGAAGGGAAACTTGACTAAGAGCTGGGGGAGTACCTGCGATGGACTGGCATCCCATCCAGGGGGAGTAGTAATACTCCTAGTCACATCATGCCATGGAAACCGGGGTTAAGCACTGGCCCGATGGGCCACTAGGCTCGTAACAGGCTCTCAACAGGTTGCTAAATACCAAGTTACATTTTTCTATCATAAATACTTTTGAAGCTATCATGTTAACAAGCATTTTGAAGGGTGTGGCCAGTTGTCATGACCTTGACCTTTGAAGTGACCAGTGATTTTGCAAAAACAATTCCCCAGGGCGATAATAACTGTGACTAAAGTATTAGAAATAAGTTGAAGGCTATGAGGTTGTAGAGGCTGGCAGGAACACCGAAGATGCACTGGAGCCAAACAATTTCCTGCTTAGGACGATGAAAGCAGCAAACATATTTAGCCTTGTTCAACTCTATTTGGAAAAGATACAAGCTAGCAAACCCTTTCACAATACATTGAATGTAAGGTAATGTTTCTTAATGAGACAATATAGAGCAGGGGTCACCTGTTCCTGGAGAGCTACCATCCTGTAGGTTTCTGCTCTACCTCCCATTCAGTACACCTGATTCAAGTAATTAGCTACTTAACAAGATCACGAGCTGGGCAATTAAGTAGCTAATTAGTTGAATCAGGTGTGCTGAATAGGAGGTAGAGCAGAAACTTACAGGATGGTAGCTCTCCAGGAACAGGGTTGGTGGGCTGCTATAGAGTATATTACTCCCGGTCTCTAGTCTCACACTGAAGCATCCTGCCAATATAGTAGAGTGGGTGTATGGGCGGGACCGTGACACCACTGCTCAACCCCAGGTGGCAACGGTCGTATGAAGGATATTATGGCTCCATTATTACACAGCGTTACGAAGTGGAGAGGCGTTGTCCATCGTTATATGCAGTTGATCACTCCATCAAGCTTCCAAGCTTACTCAGGGTCCAGGATTGGGACCGTGATCCAGTTAACCCGGCTGAATTTAGTTTGTCTGTCAAATTTAATGGGAACAAGCTCCCAAGCCTAATCAGGGTCTAGGATTGGGACCGTGCTCTTGTCAACCCTTCCAAGTCTGTTCCTCTGTCCATTTTACTAGGAACAAGCTCCTAATCTTTCTACAGTGATATCAGAACTAGAAATAAGTTCCCCTCAAGCCACTCCATCATCTTGTGGGACAGTATAGCACTGGCAAAGTGTACTCTCCACCTGGCTTTTATCCTAGAAGCCACTGGCCGGCCATTGAGAGCTCAGCTTCACTCAGCGCCGTCGTATAGGGGGGAAAGGTGATGGCAATTCTGAGGGCCCACGGTCCATCAAGGGCCCACAAAACCCACAGTAGCCGCCATGACTAAATTATTATGCATAGATCTAACTAATATTCACACTAACGCATCAGAGCTAAAACAAAGCCACAAAGGCATGCAATATTGATGAAATACATTTCAATAACCCCTTCTTAAAAAATGGTTTGGTCCATGGTTCGTGCTCCTCTTGGAAAATTGTCTGTGTGTTTTTGCTCGCGAGGTTCACGAACTCCGGCAGCAAATAGCGGGTACAGACCTTAAGAATATGATGTCCAAAAAAAAAAAAAAAAACACACACACAAATCTGGACACTAGAAAAGAATAAAGAGAGAGGCGAGCAGGAGCAGAGCAGGGGCCCAGAACATTAGAAGATTCTTTTCAAAGGAAGGAGAGAGTATTAAACTAGCCTGCTATGTTAGCTATTCAAGCTGGTTATTCAGCTGCTAACATTACGTTAATATAACATGCGGTCAGCTGTGTAAACAATCGCCTGACAAGAATGACATTACTCAGTTATTAACTATATCATCCACAAAAAAGATCGGTAAGGTTATCATTCGCCAGTCATTATAATATGCTGTCAAAAAATCCAGTAGCAGCAGGACACGCTCCTCCATCCTAATTAGGAGTGGTTAGTGCATACTTAGCTCTCTCTCGCTGTAAGTGACAGTACAGGCTAGGTTAGGCTAGCGAGCTATTTGCAGTCAGTGTGGCAACCTTAGGTGAAACTTAAATAATTGCTTGACAAGGCTGACATTACTTTTACCTTCTTACATGAGTGTTTACTAAAACTAAATGTAATGGCTGGTAAAATTGAGAGGCCAAGTGCAGTGGCCAGAGAGAAACGAGCAGCACGGACACAATACAAACACAGAGAATTATACAGACCACCGGAAAGTACTCGCGCTTCCAAAGGACGTATAATAGTCCGAAACACGGAAGCAACGCGAGAGAGATAAAAGGGAGAAGAACCTCGGCAGCCGAGAAAAACAAAGTACCAAAATAGTGCGACAAAAAGACCAGAGGCAAAAAAGTAGAAAAGGGAAAATCCCTAAAGAGGAAGGAACTCAAATAATATCGAGAAGATAGAAAGTCACACGAATCCTGACTACAGATATCTTCGGCTATAGTGCTTAGCTACAAACAGACACTCTAGCAAAGGAGGCGTGGCGGACTTCCAGCTTATATAGAGTCCGGGGAAGCGCCGCCCCAGTTCAAACAGCCAGCTGGGTAAAGAATCCGATTAAAAAGGAATTTGATATCATCCCGGGACGAGAGCCACAAAGAAAAATCCAAAACACACGCACACCTCACAAACCATGACACTAGACTGCTACTTTGGCCTGTTGACATGTCTTGTTAACACAGGGGGTAATTTTATGGAGCTTGCCCTCCTCGTAACAAAAGCAAAGTGAAGCTGAATGCTTAGAGCTATGGCACTGAGAAGCCCATTTAGATTTTGTTTATTCCAGGACTAGGTCGGTTAGTTCTTCATCAGTTGTTCCTTAAAACATAACTTTAAATGTTTACAAAAGTAATATGAAATGGAACAATTAAACCTTTATGCTCTACTACTCCAGAATCAGCTGTAGCCGCTTCATCTGAGTCTGACCCAGCAGTAGACCCTCACCACCAGTAGTCTGAAGATGTTTTGGTGGTGGGTGAGTGAGTGAGTGTGAATAAGAGAACTAATAATTCATTATTTACATAATAATACACTGACTCTTTATTGAGTGGTAATTGTAAAAAAGGGAAAAATTGGGTGTATTGCATCAGACACTGCCAAGAACATTGAGAAACAGAAAAATAAAGAATAACATAATGGTAAATAGTTGTGAAAAATGGCAATGAAAAGTCGGGAGTGGGGGCCCACACTGATATTCTGTCAGGGGGCCCAGAATTCCTAGCAATTGCCCTGGCTTCACTTACGACATCTGTACTGAACTGTGCTATCCTTATCTGGGGTTCTGTCCCCACCTCTTCCTCTGAGGCTCCATCCCCAAATTAGCGTATAAGCTGTCAATAAACTTCCTGTTGGATTTTACTCTGCCTCTGCACTATCTAGTCACTGGCATGGAATCAGCAAAAATGTCCAGCTCGGTTGACACTTTGAGGGACCAGGGGCTGCTTCTTGGCCAGCATGCTTCTTTCACTAGCCACACAAAACATCAGTGCCTTCTTCAGTCAACTTGAGGCTGTAGGTGACATATTACCGGACTTTGCCTTCGCCACTTAAGCAGCCACTGCCCTCTTGCAGCAAATCCTGCCTTAGCTCCTTGCCCACCAGGAACTGAACTTGTGGTTCTGGATTCAAATGATGGTGATCCCAACTCCTGCAGCAGTTTCCTGACCCAATCTTTAATGGTCTTCGAGCTTTAACCATCCTCCATCCCTACCAAATGCTCCAGGGTGGCATTTGTCATCTCTTGTCTCTCTGAATGTGCCTAGAACTGGGCTGCTGCCTGCTGAAAGGCAGGAAATCCTGCAGTGTACTCTTTCACTGCCTTTGCTGAGGAGATGAGGAAGCTGTTTTACCGGTCCTGCTCTCACCACTCCACTGCCCGGAAGCTGCTCCTGCTGTGTCATGACAACCAGTCAGTGATGGATTATTCCATCAACTTTTGTGTGCCGGCTGTGTCTTTGCGCTGAAACTCCGGGGTGTCATACGATATCAACTTGGCAAAGCAGATCCAGGACGAGTTGACCAACCGTGTCCTTCCTCAAGATCTGGGCCAGCTCATTGACTTTTAAGGATTGATGTTCAGCTGCAAGAGTGATGGATGGACTGGCAGACAAGGTTACAGATGCCTCCCCTGCCTGCAACGCAGGATGCTCAAGCCCAAGTAGATTTTCACCAGGCTCCTCTGGTATTAAGGGTTGTTGACTGTGCGTGGCTTCACAAGCTGCCCCCTGAAGAATGGCTGCGCTGAATTAAGTTGAATCTAAGCTGTATTGCAGAAGTAGCACCCATACCATTGCTGACTGCCCAGTTCAAGCGAGTGAAGTTTGACCCAGAGGTGTTCTCGAGTGCTGCTGTCTCATATTGCTGTATTCTCCTTCCTTTTTACCTACCTGGCAGGGCTACCCAGTCACCTCCCGGGCTTTAGTTAACTCTAGTGCTGATGGTAACTTTATCCATCCTTGACTTATTTGTCACTTGAAGGTCTCTACTGTGCCTCTGCCAGCTCCTTCTCCAGTCCCAGGGTCTGACAAGGATTGCCTTTCCCTATGTCACTGAGGTGACTTGACCAGAGCCCATGCAGACCTCTGGTAACCGTACGGAAGAGTTAGCATTTCTCATCATGGCGTTACCGCATGCCCAGGTGATGTTGGGGAGACCCTAGCTGAACATCCCAATTGTCATGTGGACTGGCTTTTGGGATCAGTATTGGAGTGGAGTTTGTCCTGTTCACAGTCTTTCTGCAGTCTCCAGCCCAAATGCACCTCCTTCTTCTAACCATCAGGAGGAGCTGCCAGACCTGAAGGGAGTTCCCTCTCATCAATTATGACCATCGGATGACATTCAGCAAAACCAGGGCAGCATCACTTTTGCCTCACAGATCCTTTGATTGTGCCATAAACTTTCTACT